AGCTCAACAAAAACACCCAAGAGGGCCCCAAGACGGCCCATGAGGGCCCCCAAACGGCCCAAAGAGGCCCCCAAGACGGTCCAAGAGGCCGCGAAGTCGGCCCAAGAGGACCCCAAGAGGGCTCCAATGCGGCCGCGAGAGGCCCCCAAGACCGCCTCCGAGGGGGCGAAACGGCGCAAAAGCGCCCCAAGACGAACGAAAACGCCCCCAAGAGGCCCCAAGAGACCACGAGAAAGCTTCCAAGAAACCTCCCAGAAGCCTCCAAAAGGCCCCCAAAAAAGCCCTCCAAAGGCCACGCAGCGACTGGAGTGCAATGTTATTTTCCCCCCTCTGGGCGAACTGCGGCGCAGCGCCAGCCAGGTGGAAGTTGGTCACTGCGGCGCCCATGATTAGAGCCGGCGCTGGAAGGGAAGATGGGGATGGTGTATGAAAAGGAGGGGGGGGGAACGGCCCTAAAGAAGTCCCCAAAAGGCCAAAAGAAACTCCCAGGAGGCCTCCAGGAGGCCCCCAAGAGGCTCCCAAGAGGCCCCGCGACGACGTGACTGTACGTGCTCCGGACGTGCACCCCGCGAAACGATAGGAATCCACGTCCGGAGGTGACGTGCTGAGCGGCAGCGTTTTTCGGCGAACGCCTTACTGCAACGTGTCCAATTTATCCAATGATTGCATACTTGCCACATGTTGCATTGTGTTACATTATTATGTCTCCCCCCTAAGCCCCCCTGGGAGCTGCGCCACACCGCCGGACCAAAGTGACGCCCCCCTTCTGGGGCCCAAAGAACCTACAAAAACCAACGAAAATCAATACATTCGGCCTCTTGGGCCTCTGGGGGCTCCTCGAGGGCCTCAAGATGGCACAAGATGGCCCCAAGACGGCCCAAGACGGCCCCAAGACGGCCCAAGACGGCCCAAGATATTTCCAACGGGGACCCATGAGGCCCCCAAGACGGCCCCAAGACGGCCTCAAAAGCTCCAAGGACGGCCCAAGAGGGCCCCATGAGCGCCTACAACTGCGCCTCCAGAGGCCGAAATCATTACCTTTTTGCAATCTTTTAGCGTTCTCGCCTTTTTCGACTCTCAAAAATCAGCGACGGCCCAAGCAGCTTCCAGAATCGCCCCAAAACGACCCAAAAAACACCCAAGAGGGCCCCAAGACGGCCCATGAGGGCCCCAAAACGGCCGAAAGAGGCCCCCAAGACGGTCCAAGAGGCCGCGAAGTCGGCCCAAGAGGACCCCAAGAGGTCTCCAATGCGGCCGCGAGAGGCCCCCGAGACAGCCTCCGAGGGGGCGAAACGGCGCAAAAGCGCCCCAAGACGGCCGAAGACGCCCCCAAGAGGCCCCAAGCGACCCCGAAAAAACTTCCAAGAAACCTCCCAGAAGCATCCAAAAGGCCCCCAAAAAAGCCCTCCAAAGGCCACGCAGCGACTGGAGTGTAATGTTATTTTCCCCCCTCTGGGCGAACTGCGGCGCAGCGCCAGCCAGGTGGAAGTTGGTCACTGCGGCGCCCATGATTAGAGCCGGCGCTGGAAGGGAAGATGGGGATGGTGTATGAAAAGGAGGGGGGGGAACGGCCCTAAAGAAGTCCCCAAAAGGCCAAAAGAAACTCCCAGGAGGCCTCCAGGAGGCCCCCAAGAGGCTCCCAAGAGGCCCCGCGACGACGTGACTGTACGTGCTCCGGACGTGCACCCCGCGAAACGATAGGAATCCACGTCCGGAGGTGACGTGCTGAGCGGCAGCGTTTTTCGGCGAACGCCTTACTGCAACGTGTCCAATTTATCCAATGATTGCATACTTGCCACATGTTGCATTGTGTTACATTATTATGTCTCCCCCCTAAGCCCCCCTGGGAGCTGCGCCACACCGCCGGACCAAAGTGACGCCCCCCTTCTGGGGCCCAAAGAACCTACAAAAACCAACGAAAATCAATACATTCGGCCTCTTGGGCCTCTGGGGGCTCCTCGAGGGCCTCAAGATGGCGCAAGATGGCCCCAAGACGGCCCAAGACGGCCCCAAGACGGCCCAAGACGGCCCAAGATATTTCCAACGGGGACCCATGAGGCCCCCAAGACGGCCCCAAGACGGCCTCAAAAGCTCCAAGGACGGCCCAAGAGGGCCCCATGAGCGCCTACAACTGCGCCTCCAGAGGCCGAAATCATTACTTTCCTTTTTGCAATCTTTTAGCGTTCTCGCCTTTTTCGACTCTCAAAAATCAACGACGGCCCAAGCAGCTTCCAGAATCGCCCCAAAACGATCCAAAAAACACCCAAGAGGGCCCCAAGACGGCCCATGAGGGCCCCAAAACGGCCGAAAGAGGCCCCCAAAACGGCCCAAGAGGCCGCGAAGTCGGCCCATATGGGGAGGGAGTATGAAAAGGAGGGAGGGGGGAAAGGCCCCAAAGAAGTCCCCAAGAGGCCCAAGGAAGCTCCCAGGAGGCCTCCAGGAGGCCCCCAAGAGGCTCCCAAGAGGCCCCGCGACGACGTGACTGTACGTGCTCCGGACGTGCACCCGTCGGAGCGAGAGGAATCCACGTCCGGAAGTGACGTGCTGAGCGGCAGCGTTTTCTGCGGATGCTGTAATGCAGTGGATCCAATGTGTCCAATGTTTGCATAATTTCCACATATTGTATTGTGTTACATTGTTATGTCTTCCCCCCTAACCCCCCCTGGGAGCTGCGCCGCAGGAGCGGACCAAAGTGGCCCCCCCTCCTGGGGCTCAAAAACCTACCAAAACCGATGGAAAATCTATGATTTCGACCTCTTGGGCCTCTTGGGGGGCCAAGAGGGCTCAAGGTGGGCTCTGTGCTGGCCAAGACGGCCCCGAGACGGTCCAAGATGGCCCCAAGAGGGCAAACAAAAACCCAATGACAGCCCAAGAGGGCCCCAAGAGCGCCCACAATTGCGCCTCCAGAAGCCAAAATCATTGATTTCCCTATGGTTTGGTAATCTTTTAGCGTTCTCGCCTTGGTGGCCCAAGCAGCTTCCTAAATCGCTCCACAACAACCCAAGCAGCCCCCAAGAGGGCCCCAATACGGCCCAACAGAACCCCAAGACGGCCCAAAGAGGCCCCCGCGACGGTCCAAGAGGCCCCTATGACGGCCCAAGAGGACCCCAAGACGGCCCCAAGGCGGCCGCGAGAGGCCCCCAAGACGGCCTCCGAAGGGGCGAAACGGCGCAACGGCGCCCCAATACGGCCAAAGACGCCCCCAAGAGGCCCCAAGAGGCCCCCAAGAGGCCTGCAAGGGGCCCCAAAAAGCCGCCAAGAGGTTTCCAAGAGGTCTTCAAGAAGCCTCCCAAAGGCTTCAAAGAAGCCCACCAAAGGCCACACAGCGACTGGAGTGCAATGCCATTTTTCCAACTTGGGCGAACTGCGGCGCAGCGCCAGCCAGGTGGAAGTTGGTCGCAGCGGCGCCCATGATTAGAGCCGGCGCTGGAAGGAAATATGGGGAGGGAGTATGAAAAGGAGGGAGGGGGGAAAGGCCCCAAAGAAGTCCCCAAGAGGCCCAAGGAAGCTCCCAGGAGGCCTCCGGGAGGCCCCCAAGAGGCTCCCAAGAGGCTCTGCGATGACGTGACTTTACGTGCTCCGGACGTGCACCCCGCGAAGCGAGAGGAATCCACGTCCGGAAGTGACGTGCTGAACGGCAGCGTTTTCTTCGGAGGCGGTAATGCAACGTATCCAATGTATCCAATCGTTGTAGAATTGCCACATTTTGTATTGTTTTACACTACTATGTCTCCCCCCCTGACCCCCCCTTGGAGTCGCGCCACTCCGCCGTACCAAATCTGGAGGCCCTCATTCTGGGGCTCCAAGCCTACAACAACCTATGAACAATCCGCAAATTCGGCCTCTTGGGCCTCTTGGGGCTCCACAAGGGCCTCAAAATGGCCTAAGATGGCCCCTAAGACGGCCCAAGATGGCCCTGGATGGTCCCAAGAAGGCCCGTGAGGCCCCCAAGACGGCTCAAGGGGCCCCAAGAGGATTCGAAAGAGCGCCTCCAGGAGCCAAAATCATTGATTCCCCGTTGGTTTTTGGCAGATTTAAGCGTTCTCGCCTTTTTCGGCTTTCAGAGGACCATGGCGGCCCAAGCAGCCTCCAAGAAGCCCTCAAGACGGCCAACGAGACCCCCAATGGGGCCCCAGAATTGCTCAAGAGGGCCTCGAGACGGCCAAAGAGGCCCCCAAGACGGTCAAGGGGCCCCCAAGACGGCCCAAGAGGACTCCAAGAGAGCCCTAAGGCGGCCGCGAGAGGCCTCCAAAATGGCCTCTGACGGGGCCAGACGGCGCAAGAACGCCCCAAGCCGGCGCAGGACGTCAACAAGAAGCCCCAAGAGGCCCCAAAGCGGCCCCAAAGACGCTCCAAGAAGCCCCCACGAGGTATTCAAGAGGCTCCCAAGAGCCCCCCATGAGACCGCCCAGAAGCCCCGGGGATTGCAGGACGGGGCGGCACGCGCGCGCGGCAGCCGAGCAGGCCACGCCAACCAACGCCCACACCGTGGCCCACACCTTCCACATTTGAGCACTTTTTTCACAGCGGCAAATACGGCCGCGAGAGGCCCCAGACCAGCCTCGAGAGACCGGCCTCCGAATGGGCCACACGCTGCAAGAGCGCCCCAAGACGGCCCAAGACGGCCCCAAGAGGCCCCAAAGAAGCCCAGTGTAGAAGAGGCCCCAAGAAGCTTCCAAGACACCTCCAAGAGGCCACAAGGAAGCTCCCAAGAGGCCCCGCAACGACTGGACTGTACGTGCTCTGGACGTGCATCCCGCGAAGCGAGAGGAATAACGGTCGTGAAAATCGACGGAAAAACGACCGGATTGAAAAAAACAAATCAGTCCTGGACCTCGGGGGCCTTCCACCGGCCAGCTATTCATCCTTGAATGCTCTTCGGATGGTCCCGAGGCCCGCCGAGGGCCCTGTGAGCCCAACAGCGGCCAAACACCTCGGGACTCGTTTCCCTCAGGGCCCGCTTCTTTCACAGCGAAGATCTCGGCCCACGGGCCGCCGGCCTGGGCCTGGCCGGCGCCGAAGTTGAAGTTGCTGCGCCGCCGCGACGATGCCCGGCGCTGGGGCGTGACGCTGCGGGCCTCGGGACGGGGCCCGCCGCCAGGCTGCGCGGGGCCGCGGCGCGGCCGGGCGCCCCCCTCGCCCTCTGCGCCTGGGGCCGGTGCCGCGGCAGGGGCCCAAGCAGTCGAGAGCTCTTGCGCAGCGCGTCGCCGGTATTGACTACCTACCAGACCACCCCAACCCAACCTGAAGACCCGAATTTCGGGTTGGGGGGGGTAAGGGTTCCACATGTGTTTTTTCGATGCTTCCCAACCCCCCCCCACTGGAAATCGAGGGTAAATTTGGGCCTTCGGGTTGGGTTGGGGTGGTTTGGTGGGTGGTGAGGTATCAGCCCCGGCGACGCGCGGTGCCCTGCGAGCGGATGGCGTGTCGCTCCAGTTTGCGCGGGGCGAGGTGCGGGGGGGAAGGCTCGAGGCGCTGGGGGGCTGGGGCGCGGGCGGCGTGCCGCGCCGAAGCGTGGTGCCGAAGCGGCGGAGCGACACGCTAAAAGCCAGAGTTCGTGACCGCATGTTCGCGGGGGGCTTTCGTGCACCGCCGTGCCTGGCCAGGGCCCTGCTGAGTCCCAGGGTGGTGTGCACCCAGATCTCCGACGACATGATATCCTAGACCGATGCTCTTTCCTCGACTTTTCGGTCCTCGGGGGCCTTTTTCTGGGCCCCAGGGGGCCATCAGACATCCATCCTGCACGGAAAAAAAAAAAACCAGGGGCCGCGGACTGAAAAACAGATCGGCGGACGTCAGGGTACGCCCTGCTGGCCGAGGCCAGGAGGGTCTACGCACTATCCTGCGGCCCACACGTGGCCCTGGCCAAGCACAGCGGTGGTGTACGGCAAGTTCGTGCCGTGTCGAACCCGGCGTTGGTTCCTGACACCGCGGGGATCGTTCAAACTTAAACGATTGGCCCTCTCTGGAACGTCCGATCGCTCAACATCGACCGATTCTGGGTCGCCAACGGCGTTCAATGCTGAACGCCGGCGGTGGGGTCGCCGCCGGTCGACACGACGCGAACCTACCGTACAGATGCCGCCTGAAGAAGGTAAAGCACAGCTGGAGAAGAACCCCCCTCCCAGACCTCTGGCGACATTATTGTTTCAATCCTGGCGGTCTCGCTCGACGTTCGGCCAAAGGGGCCTGTTGGCAGGCCCCAGAGCCAACGAAACTTGATCTGGAAAATAAGAGCACTCCCGTGGAATGGCTCGCGACCTCTAGGGCCGTGCAGCGCACTCAAGCAAATCACACCTTCCTGGGTCATGTCGTGGAAAACAAATCACGACGTTGGGCTTGGTTGCCATTTTCAGCCTATGGGGGCCGTTAGCGAGCCTTAGGGCCATCAAAAACGACGCGGGATGTGAAACTGGTCCTTGGCCCAAACCTCCGACGTCACGGTTTTTGCGTAACGTGACGATCAGAGGTCTCGACCCCTTCTCCGGGACTGGCCGTGCATCGCGAGTGTTTTTAAGACAGCCGCAGAGCCAGGCAAGGGACCCCGCAGGGCCGAAAGTTGGTACAAAGCCTCCGTCGTGATCAATGGGTGAGGAGGTGTTAGGGGTCCACGCGGGAGGGTTAAGAGATAAAACATCTGTGGGTCCACGCTTTGCAAAGATCATGCCGTCGGAGGTCGTGGATGAATCGTCCAGGAGCTCGCGGCCGACGGATCCCCGATCGAAGGGGAGAACGAAGGAGGCCACCATCTGTGCGAAAGCACCGTGCTTCCTCCTCCTCCTCCACCTCCTCATAATACTCCTTCTCCTCCTCCTCCTCCTCCTCCTCCTCCTCCTCCTCCTCCTCCTCTTTGTTCTAATCGTGTTCCTCTTCCCCACAATCCCCCTCGTCCAGCGGAGTCCAGATCATCAGCATGTCACTCCCCCACCGTCCCCTGCAACTCCGCCTCATCGTGGCCATGTGATCCTCCCCATCCTCACCCTCATCGACGTCGTCGTCACCATCAGCATCAGCATCAGCATGAGCATGAGCATGAGCATGAGCACGAGCAGGAGCATCATCATCATCATCATCATCATCATCATCATCATCATCATCATCATCATCATCATCAGCATCATCATCATCATCAGCATCATCAGCTTCAGACGAGCATCATCCTCGCCCCCGACCTCGTCAACGTCACCATCGTGATCGTTGTTCTCCTCCTTGCAGTCGTTGTATTCATCGGCGCTTGGCATGGGCACTCGGCCACTACTCTTACGGGCATAAAACCCACCCCAAATGCAAATCACGCGAACTTACAAAACTCACCAAAAATGCAACGCACGATTCCCCAAACCCATCAGCACGCAAACGCCGTGCTTGGGGCGTGGCTGGCGGGAATGCTGGCCTTGGTTTCCAGGGGCTACAAAGACTACCCAAAACGCGCTCTAAAGAAGGGGGTCGATTAGGCCCAACCCAAAGCACCACCGTCACCATCATCGGCTCAGCTCCTGCGAACGCTGCGAGGCGTGGCGCAGGGGCTGGCGTGCTGGCGTTGGCCTTTCAGGCGCCACGAAACTGCCCAAACCGAGACCCGAAGAAGGGGGTTGATTAGCGGACGCCTGCCCATCCCGAATCAACACCGTCACCGACGAACCCCCAAGAGGCTCCCAAGAGGCCGCCAACATGCTCCAAAGAGGACCGCAAGATGCTCCCAAAAGGCTCCAAAATTGCATTCAAAAACCCTACGAACGCGCTCCGCAGGGGCACCACGAAGCATCATTGATGGGGGTCTGCTCCATGGGTCGTTGTGGTCGTCGTCCCCCTTCAGGGTCGGCGGCGCCGGCCGTAAGGCCTTCCCAATCACCACCGTCACCATTTGGTGGCGCGCACAGGGGGGAAACGGGGAGGGGGGAAAGCTTCTTAAAAAGAGCCTGCTGCTCAGGAGGCGCCGGCTTTGCATCTGCAGCCAAGGCCCGCGCCTTCTAAGAAGCAGGGTTTTTTCTAAGAGGTCTTCCCCCCTCCCCTCGGGGATGGACAGAACCCCCTTTAGCAAAACGTGGTTTAGTGAAAACGACCTCGGGCCCAAACCCGGCGGGCGCAAGCCTGGAAAATAACGGCCACGGCGCCCTCTCGAAAGCCGAAAACGGACAATTCACTAATCGACGTGTCACTGTTGGGGGTTCTGTCCAGCCCCGATCCCCCTCATTACCCTCCTTGCGCGCGTGGCTTAGCCATCGTCGGCTCAGCTCCTGCGAACGCCGCGAGGCGGGGCGCGGGGGCCGGTGCTCCGCCGAAACCAGCGAAGGCCGCGAAGTGCGGCGTCTGGGAGGGCGGCTCGTCGCGGGCGCCGTGCGCCCTTAGCTCCTAGCAAGAAGAAGAGGACGAGGGATAGGAGGAGGAGGAGGACGAGGAGGAGGAGGAGGAGGAGGAGGGGGAGGAGGAGGAGGAGGAGGAGGAGGAGGAGGAAGAGGAACTATACTTTCGGTGGCTGGAAGCTGTACGTGAGACATCATGGCGGCAAAAAGGTGTAGATTGTGGGGCCGTCACCCATCTTAAAATAAGAAGATATGCGTCGACGCTAGCACCAAACAACGGCGACCTCTCCGATTCGAGTCGGGATTATGCGGGCGATCGAACAGCTCTGGCGGAGAAGAGAGCCCAAAGGAAGATGGGAACTGTACCTGTCAAACCACAAGCACATTCTAGACTCGGCAGGGAGACGCCGTCGCTGTCTGACCTGACGGGCGCTCGCGTGAGGGCGCAAGCTCATCCACTGTACTGGTGAGCTCGCTCGTGCTCCTAATAGCGGCACAGGAAAAGCTCACGCGTGTGAGTGATGGTGGTGTGATCTACTTTGCTCCGCACTGCGTGACGCTGGCGACCTCGGGCCGCAGACATGACGTCTGGAAACCTGTCCCAACATGTAGGCAATATTATGGCTCCAGGGCCACGTGAGTGATGAGGTGGAGGTGTACTGCCTTGAACTGGTAGATGGTAGAGGAGGCGGCGGATGGAGATAGACCGTGAGGGATGCGCACGCGCGTTAAGCACGATCGCCACACGGTCTGTCAAACGCGCTGCGATCACCAGGCGACCTCCTCGCTGGGCGCGCCGGGCTCGGCACTGCCCCTGGGCGAGGGTGGCTGCTGTGGCTCGTCGGCGCTAACCGCGCGGAGGGCCGCGCCGGCGCGACGACGCTTGACCTTCTCTCCAGCCCTGCGGGTCCTCCTCTTCTCGGGGAGGTAAGGGGCGTCGTCCGGCAGGGGGTCGTTTCTGTCCTTGCCCTTGCCCTTGCCCTTGTCCTTGCCCTTGCGGGCCATCACCGAAGCGCGCCCTCGGGAGCCGATGGGCGCCGCGGCCCCCGCCCCAGTCCAAGACGGGCGCGGGGTCGACGGGCGCAACGTGAACAGTTCACTTCGACATCCGGCGCGAAATTACCCAGGACTCCTCGAGTCCACCCTATCGTTTCCTGAACGAACTTCGCTCTGCGACGTCGGCGCCACGACAGGTGGACAGCTCTTGAACGACGGGATGCTGAGAGATGCACCATCGAGCTCGGCCGCCGGATCCTGTCCGAGTCCAGGCCAGGATCCCGCGTTCGTCAGCGCCCAGTAACGCATGCAGTCGTCTCGCTGCTGGTGGCTCCGCGAAATCCAGAAGCGGTAGAGCTTCGTCGTGGACGTCGCGAGTGCGATTCCCAGCGGGGCGTTTGCATATGTGGGCCTCGGGCGGTGTGTCCAGCCGCGGGCCCCCTGCACTTCGAAGGTAAAGCCCGCGCGGAGCTCAGGGTCCATCGCGCCGACGCTGAATGAGGCGCGACGGGGGGCCTGTTCCGGCACCGAATCTGCGCGATGCCAGGCGCGCGCGAAATTCACAATCTCCTCGTCGGACTTGGCGAGCGGCCGGGCACCCTCCGCGAGCGCCGCGGTCGGCGCCCCTGGAGGGGGCGGCGGGCTTGGAAGGGTCGGCACCATCGCGGGTGCCTTACTGGTCGGCAGCAGTCGCGAGCGAGACACGGCCGCCGCGCGGCGTCTGCGCGGAGATGGCGGGCGCGACGTGGAACGGGGAAGCCCTCGAGCCTGAGCGCAGTCTTGTGGAACAGGCGGCGTTAGCACCGCGCGTCGCGTCTCGCTGGGCCGCTGCGCCGGGCGATCCACTTCGCGGCCCTGGTTTCTGCGCGGCGGCGGCGGCGCTGGGGGCGCGCCGGGAGGGCGAATCGTCGCCAGCGGCCCCGATGGGCCGCCGACTCTGGCCCGGGTGCCCGGGCGGGGCGTCGGCGACCGAGCCCTTGGCCAGGCCCGGCCTGCAGTCGATGTGAGGGCTGCATCTTCTGATGGCGCCCCTTCCTCCGTGGAAAACAAGGAAGATGAGGGCGCGGAACGCGAGCGGCGAGGCGGCGGTGGACCCGCGGGCCCCGGTGGCTCACTCTCAGGCATGGCGCCGCGCGCGCGCTGCAGCGGGCGGTCGCCAGCGCGCAGCGGCGCGCGTCGAGAGCCCGCGCGCGGGCCCGTCGGCGCGCGAGCGGCGGCCGGCAGCTCGGCGCGCCTCGGCCGGGCAGCGCGCGAGCCCACCAAGGGCAACTGGCAGCGGCAACGCAAATACTTCCCCCTGATCCTGCTGCATCTGCGCCCGCCATGCGCGCGCATGCGCCCACCTGCAAGCGAGCCGCAACGAATGCTCACCACTGCAGGATAGATTCCCGACATCATGCTCTTCCGAACGGCCGCGCCACGACATTCCCCCCGACCATCGGGCGCAATGTGCCAGATCTTCCGAAAATATGAAGATGGGAACGGGCAGTGGCTCCGAGTAGGATGGGGCGCGCGCAGTTCCTATGCGCATGATGATATAAACTAGATGTCGGAGGTCGGCTAGCGCTCGCGCCCTGGCGGCGCGGCGAGCTCGCCGGCCGACGCGAGGGCGACCGCGCATTATGTATGCGGCCGCTGACGAAAGCCACTGGCCACGCCATGGAGGCGCGTCTATCCATGCTGCCCTTGGTTAGTCCGCCCGCGATCACGTCGCAGGCGCCCCCGATCTCGGCGCCATTAGTTGGCCCGGGCTCAGGGGGTCGCGGGGCCAAAGCACATGCTTCATTCGCGAGCGTTCTGCCGAAGGCTTCGGTCTCGTCGCTGCGACGGCCGCGACCGCCCCCATCGGATCGAGGCAAAGATCGATTTGCAGCGCGAGCGGTTGTTAACCATCTCGTTGACGACGTGCCGCCTCTGGGCCGCGGGGCCCTTTAGTGCTTCATTGAGTGCGGTGGCTAGAGCGAGGCCGCGATCTGCCTGACTGATCGAGGACATCAGCTCACTTGAAAAGGCGCCTCGCGCAAATGCCATGAATGCCCCACGCTGCCAGGCCAGCAAGCGACGCGCTCGTTTGCCGACGCAGGCTTGGTGAGTCCTCGCATCTCCGGTGCCCATGCGCAAGAAAACTAGCTCATCGCAGGGCTCGCCCTGCGTCGACGCCCTCCTTCCGTTCGTTGTGAAATTCTGCGTCGCTGCGTTTCCCGAGCTTGCGTGCGCAGCGCATGGGTGGATAGTGGGTGCGTAGTGGCGTGGCCTGCGCCAATCTCACCAGTCCTTCGAGCTTCCGCACGTGGCCGCGCGTCGGCGCCGTTGCGTGGGGCTGAAATGCAACTACGTAGACGCGCGGATCGATCCGGGCGATGAGAATGAAAGTCTGAGCCATGAGCAGACTGAGCTGGAGCGAGCTCGGAGTTGGACTTGCCAACCAGCTCGTCGCTTCGTATTGGTTTCAGCGCGTGAATGCACTCGATCTGGCCCAGCTCATGTCCACCGTTGCGCGTGGGGGAGTGACGTCATCCACAGCACGTGCAAATGCCTTCGCCAACATCCCGTTCGCCTTTGCCGAAAGCACCCTCTGAACATTGACGTGACTTGTCCTTTTCCGATGGTGATCCTGTGGCTTTGATGTCATCCGTCGACATGTTTGGTGGTCAGTCGGGCGAGGTCGCCATCTTTGTGCTTGGCGATGACCTCGCTGTCGTGTGATATAGGGATGGCTGGCACATGAGATTGGCGATCTCGGTGAGTTGGATGGGCCAACATCCCGGGGCGCCTTTGCACCGGATGCCTGGTCTCTTTTCTCCACGTGGAGCAACCCAGGTGCTGGGTCGCAATCATCGCGCCACTTTACTTTGCGCAACACTGCGACGGCGTCAGGGGAGAGCTCAAAGTTAACCTCGCGCTCCACCCCCGTCGCCTCCGCAAGTTCCCAGTAGCTGAAGCCCTTCTGGAAGGCCTTTCTGACGCCCCATGCGCCCATCGTCCATTCGCGGCAGGCCGCCTCGGAAACAATCACGCGCTAGGAGAGTCGTGACGAGGCGCCTGCGTGCGTGGCGACGAGATCGGCGCCGGCGCTCTTGAGGCCTCGGTGAGTCAGCCTCATGCGGGCGCTGCGAAACTGGTAAATGGGTCTGCTTTACTTCGTGACCATGTCCGCCTGCCTACCCACCTGAAGCCAAGGGCGTCGCGCGCTCCTCGGCGCGGGCGCCGCGAGAAGCAGCTGTGATCTACCCGCGCTTGCAGCTCCTCAAGCACAGCGGCAGCAACGGTTGCGGCGTGCTCTCGGAACCTCGGGGGTGAGCACGTCGGTGTCACGTTGAACCACTGCCTTCTCGGTTCCTGCCGCGCAAACCCGGAGGCGTGCTCAGTGGCCGTCGGGCACAGGATGGCCCAGTATGAATTTGTGTACCTCGTCCAGGGCGAACATTTCCATGTAGGCGTCCCCGGCCTCATCGGTCTCGACTGCCTCTGCGGCCTCGAGAGGCGCAGCACCTACTGTGACGGGGCACGTCTGCGGGCAGGACTTGCGGCAGTCGGCCTGACGGAGCAGGTTGCGTCTCCGTCTCTAGGATCTGTTCGAAGGTGGCCGCTTCTGTGAGCAACGCATTCTCCATGACTGCCTGTTGGTCGCTTAAAGCTGTCCACCATGCGGTGTCGATAATGCACTGATCGCTCATGGAGTGGTCGTGGAACCCCGCCTCGACGGTGGAGAGCCCCCCTTCGCCGCGCGTGGAATCGTCGCGCGCCTACGGGCCCTGCGCTTCGCCGCGGCCCCCGCCCTACACCCGGCAGGCGCAGCATTTTGCTGTTGGCACCCTGAAACCTAAATTGCTATTCTCGTCGCTTGCAGTGCCTAGTTGGCCCACGCCTGGACGGCTTCGCTGTGCGTGCGTTCGATTCCCGCGCACTGGACATTGGCAGCGCCCGTGGATTCACCGACGCCGCAGCTCGGCCGCTGCCGCGGTCCCCGCTGCCGCTGCTGGCCGTACCAGCGCACTCAGGATGGAAAGATTCGACCTCTGAGTGCCCCCTGCCTCCCCCATTCCTCTGCGG